TCTGAATATAAATATTGAGCCACGCTTGATTAAAACAAGTTGGCTAACTTGCCTTCTCCGTTACGCGTCACTTCGCTTCGCTTCCTTCACTATGTTTCTGTGTTTGTTTGTCTGGATCAATGTGTATGAAATACATGTATTCGAAATTCATTCTCGTATTTGGCTTATTTTATTTTATTATTCTATAACGCGACTTAAGTCGATAGTTGTATACGAGGATTGGTGGCATGTATATTTGGATAACAATCAGCATATGAATTAACTGGAGTAAGATATCGGGCCACTAAAGACCTGTATATGATTGACAGCATTGAATGAGTCAATGTGTCACAAGTATTGCTGAATATTTACAATTGTATTGTATACGAGTGATAAACTCATATGTGTATCGAATAATGTAATAACCGAGATTGTAACTCATACTAGGTGGAATGATTATTATGATCACATGGTTGGTAGTTGCTTTTTGAGTGACTGACAAAACCTTGAAACACAGGAGAATAGTATACTATAGGGAATAAATGACGCTCATCGATCACTGGATAATAACCAATATCATGTTATTTATTTCTTAGTACTGATCAAGTTCCATATCAATACAGACAACAAGGCTAAATGATTCAGTATCACAGTGCATTTTGTTTGGTTCTAAGCGGTTAGAGTCAATAAACAGGAAGTTTTGAACACCTGGATTTTGTTCTAGCATTTGCATTAAAAAAGTCAGCCCTCAATATACAAAGTTTACAATCGAAAATTCTTAATTTATCCATTAAAGTCGTACTTCATGAAGCTAAGTTTATACTATTTACGTCTAGTTCCTATTTTCCTAATTGTTACTTCACCATGTAATTGTCTACTTCACCTCTATTAACTCAATCCTCCGTAATTCCTCTTTATTTTAAATAGTAGAAATGAGAAATTTTTCTTTAGACAAAACATACTCTTCTTCATCGTCATACTTCATTCTGAGAATAATCATTTTCAGGGATGACCATGAAATAGCCGAACAAAAAAAGGAGAGGACAGTCATACTAATGCAAAAACATTGAACTGTAAGTATGAGCAGTTCTTTATAATCCAGAGATTTAGGTATTACATTATAAATGTGAAAGACAAGAGTTTACAGTTCGAAAATCGGATAATCAGAAAAACATACTAATCTAACTTATATACTATACAGCACAGAAATCTGTGTCAATCTGGATCATTTGTCTACCGTATATTTGTTTGGCATACGATATTCAAAAACTTGAAAATAAATGCGCGTTGCTGAGGGGTCTTATACTAGGACGAAACAATTGCCCAGTGTTCTCTCGATTTCAATAATTGTCTAAGATCAATCAATACCCAGTGTGAACTATAAAATTAGATTGCCTCGTGATAAGAAATAGAAATTCAACCATTTTGTAATATCACTACCCACATTAGGAATAATTTTAACTATACTATGAATTTATAGATTAAATGACGATAATTTAAATAAAGTAATTCTGCTTTTAGGATATTCCAGTTAAAGTATTCTTTGTATTTGAATTCAGTAGGATCAAGCAAATTATTAAATATGTAAACTGAATCAAAGTGCGAATATATTTCTACATTTAAGAAAATTATAATAATGTATTAACTAGTAGAAATACATAACATGTATCTAGTATTGGAAGAAACCTAGTAATTGGTTGATATGAATAGTTCTTTTCACGAACTAATATGTTTGATTAGTTGTGAGTGGTGAAGTGTATCCTTATCGAGATTGAAATGAGTATGATCAATGATAGTAGATAGTCATCAAATTATACTATGGATTGACTGAAATTTGCTATTGTTGACAGTTGAGTTCTAGGTTAATGGTTTTAAGTTAATGTATTTGTGAATATGTTTGTAAAAATGTACATTTGAGCAATCAACATAATACATAAAAATATACGGTTATTTCTTGATCCTGAAACTGACTACTTATTTTGGGGTCTTTCAATTTCAGCTCGAATCTTTTGCTTAATTGTTTCAAAACTTCCTTGTAACCAAAAACACATTTTCCTATAAATCTCATGACCCTAGTTTTTTACGCTATTTCATAAATCATCAAAATACGAATCATTAAGTTACTGACAGTGTATATCAAAGAGTTATATTCTTTTGGAGAAACCATTCTCAAGAAACTGAAGTACAATTCCATCACTGGTGGTATCCCGTAGCTGAACAGTCCTAAACTAGGGAGAACCCCAGTTCTCACATTCAGAATGAACTAAAACTTTTTACATTTTAGTCAACATATGAATATAGCCACTAAAATTATAAACTAAATTAAATGAACTTACTAACCAAGTGCATGGGTATGAGAGACACCATAAGTATGAGGACTAACGATGCCACCTGGTTCCCTGTACCAAAGTAAGTGGGACAGATATAGAATCAGGGACTTGGTGGTTGAAAGTCAGATGACTTAACCGTGAAGATGCTAATTAGGATTCTATGTAAAATATGAAGTACCCTAAAACGCCTACTACCAAATGAATGGCACTATAGTGTTTTCTAACTGGTGAATAATTATAACTTTTGAGTAATTTTAGGTAGGCAATGAACGTAGACATTTTGCATCATTCTCGAAAGTTATAACAGCTACATACCAACTGATCGTGGAGATACTTTTGACAGAACTAATGGATGTTAACCACTGAATTAAATAATTGAATAAACGTTGATATTTTTTTAATGGTTAGGGTATTTATGTCCAGTTAAATTTATATATTGCTAATGTTGATACAAAGAATCGCAATGATCAGAAAGTCATTCATATGAATAAGGTATATTAATATCCTTAGAATAGAACCTGAAGTAACAAAATAGTTTTCATCCTGAAATGATGTTGAGTAGGTACCCCTTCAAGAAAACGGAACGAACTGGACAACCCTTTCGTTAAGGTTCAGGGGCTCTCAAAACTGTACACATATGATCTCACAAAGAATTAAGCTCAGGATATTCAGGTTATGTGCATACAATGGAATCTGGAGGCATTGAGTAATTGTTTCTCAACACTAAAACTGAACCTAAATTGAACCATTGGATTTCAACTAACCAACCACATGGGTTCCGTTCAGAACGACACCTGAATGTACTCATTTTGACCAAGTTCCAAGTTGGGAGGAAGTACGACTGAGAAATCCCAATCTAGGCTACAACAACTCTCCAATGTTTTCTCGATTACAGTGCTCCTTTATATAACATCAGTATGTAATAACAAATATCTCCAAATTTAATAAGCTTCCTCGTACAACTAACCATAAGAGATTGATCTTTGGTCGGTTAGCTAAGTTGATCAATATATTTACTAGAATCCTTAATTATAATTTGAAATATATTTGTCTAGTTGGTGAAAAACGTTTTTCAGTCTCAAGGCTATTTCTTTTAAAGTATTTTTATTTCAACATTCTCTTATTTCACTCTTATCTCTCAAATAGAGAAACTCTTAAATTGTATCGTATTATTTGCTTATCAACTCAAAGTTTCCAGGCTCATGAACATGTAAGAGCATGAAGCAATATTCGGTTCTAATTGAAGCTAGCTTTAAACACAAATTTCAAGGTTTATTGCTCCTTCGTTTCCACATCAATCATTCTGTTCTCTTTCTCTTTTCTTTGATCTTATTAACCTTCTATCGTCAAGCATCCCACTTTCGACTAGTGATACATACTACTTACATCTGTCGACATCAGTAGCGCACATCACAATATATTTGAATTTGCAAATCGTTCTAGAAACCATATCAAAATTTTTTACAGTACAAGTATGGCACATTAATGAATGTTCTGGAATTTTCCCCATTATAGCATACTATAATTTTAAACAATGTATCCTGCCCTAGACCTTCCCCCTTTTTGGATTATTCATAATTGTAGAATCTGATGAAAATTTATTGAAAATAATATTCTTCGTTCATATATTAGTGTTTTAATATGGTGAGGATCTATAAACAATGCACCATTTTTTCTAGATTTTTTCACATTAACAACTGGGTTAGATATAATTCAATTTTGAATGAACACAAGTCACTACTTATTAAGGAATCGATCTATTGTATGAAATCAATTTTACAATATTATGTACTACAGATTAACGGTAAATAAAAAACTACTGAAGACCATATAATATTGGACTATCAAAACCTAGATACAATCAACTCTATACGGTCTCAAACTTGAAACACCCAACTCGCCTGTTTTTTTTGTTTACATTATCATTTACTCACTAGATTAAAATCCAGTGATCAAATAAACCTAGTCACTGGATGGTTGGAAAAGCCAAATGGAGACCAACAGGTATATGGGTAATACAAAGCCGTCAAATTGGGTTACGAAACAAAGTAGTTCCTTAAATAGTAGGAATGAGAACAAGAGAAAGAAATACAATACAGTAATAGGTGTTGAATATTTAATAACAACTCCCGATTTCGAACAAATTAGTGTTGATATAAAAAATAAAACAATCATTCATTATTTCGGAATTGTGAATGAAAGGGAAAGGGAAAGGCGGAAGAACATGTTACTTTGGAAATTAGAGGCAGACATTGAAAGAATGAATAGCACTTACGAACAACCATAAAGGAGAACATAATATAGAATAGGTTGGAGAATCCTGGTTAGCGGCCTATGCTCCTCCAAGGGATAACAGAAGAAAGTCAGAAAAAATCCATCGTACGCAATCATCATTTGACCAGACCTCAGATCGATTTGTGGAAATCAATTACAAATTTACAAAAACAGACGAGTTCCTCTCTATTATAACATTTTTCAGGGGCAACTTATGGGGTTTATTAACCATTGGATGATATATTTGTTGTCAACTATATGCACCAACTAGAAACTTGTCAAATGTCTACGCCTCCTCTGTTTAATTCGAATTTAGGAAATCGATTGGAAGTTCATGAAAACAGTGATATCCAGTATGACGATGCATGCTTTACAATCAACCACAAAATTCAAAGAACATAACACCCAAAAAATGTTGATAATCCATTTATTTTTATAACGACAATAATATTAAATCACTTTATTATGAAATACATATTCATATCAATATTCAAGTATTAATGATGAGTTCAATTAGTTAAAACTGTCGTACTAAACCGCTGAATTGATTGAAGTAAAAAAATATGGAAAGTGGGATTTAGCTCAATTTTGGAACGAGATAAATAAGAGAAAATGACCAACTTTACGTTGATCAGGATACCAGTAGTCATAGTTTTTTAATATGCATTTACGAACACAGTCTCTATAATTTTTATATCCCCTTAGTTGAAAGCTCTCAATAGATTGATTAACTACTATCAAAAGCTCTTCCGCTTTCAAATTACTGTAAATTATTTATTAGACTATTAAACTGAATGTTTATTTTAGATTCTATGTTCAGTATATATTTAACTGCTTACTTAAGTTATAATCAGGTAATTCATGTATTTAATCACGTGAATTTCTTAACCATAGATACAGCGATCACATCTGCTGATTCACTTTCGCATTCTGATTGAGTTTGCGGACACGAAATCTACATAGCAACAACGTTGAAATATCAGGTCACTTATTTGGGCATCAGTGTCATTGATCCAAGCATAGTAGTCCGCACGGTCATCTCACTCAATGACATTACATGATATTATATTGGCCTTAAGACATGTTAGAACGTATTTTCAACGTTCTTTAGCTTTCGTTACTCATCTGATGTTCACTTTTGTGAGTAAAAATAAAACTTGATTCAGGTAAGAACAATAAACGTAGTCGGATAAGGTAGGTTCGTTTATATCGTAGTTTCTCTTCAGCTGTTCACAATTTAGAAACAACAGTAATAATTATGACAGGACCATAATTTATGGACGAATCAACCAGATTTAAGATAGACTTCAATTTTCAAGTGAAATTCATATATCGATATGGTTAAATAACATTTTGACACTATAGATGTTAGCTCGTGATGAAAACCCTAACTTATAACTCTAACTCCTATTCTCAATTCCTTAAATTAATCTACAAACCTATTTCCACCCTAGCAAGCAGTTACTTTTCAAGGTCACTTCGGTGTTGTTCAACGTCGTCCATAGAACATGGCCTCGCCATAATTATCTACTATATCATATCAGACTAATGAAGGTTAATAAAATAATGACAACCATAAATCAATTATAAAATGTCAAAATGGATGAATATTTATACGACCAAATATGAAAATTCTAAATCAGGTTTCCATAAAATGAAAATGAAAATCAACGTTACAAGTTACGTAACAACAACCGTAAAACTGGACACATCAAGAGTAAAATGAATAAAGCTAAAAATAATGACGTAGAAATGAAAAGAATTTGTAATTTAGAACATGAAATAGGATATTACACAACTAAACTATAATAAGCTAGAAGTTACCAGGGTAATTCGAAATTTACAACAGTATGTTTTGCAATGCATAGATTCAGTTTTAATCACTGATAAACATAGTAAATTCGAGTTGGCTTGAATATTGATTATTTTGGACGATTTTGAAATTTCGACACTGTGTCCACTATCAAATAGATGACGGGAAATTACACTATTGAAAGACACTGAGCTTTTAATCTCAATTGTTGTGGGATGGGTTTCGACATGTTAGCTTTTCACTTCGTTCTTCCTATGTAAATACTTTATTTAGCACTGGTAAATAAGAATGTAGATAAAATGAGGTTGAAATTTTTTAGAACTGTATTTTAGTACTTATATAGAATAGTTGATCAGTGTGCTGAACTAGTTTTTTTTTTACGTTATACAATGATTAATCGGTTTTAACACTCATTCAGAAAGTCCCAATCATTTGAAGTCATACTTATCGAATAGTAATTTTAAATATTGGGTAATTAAATGATCATGGAGTTCAGACAAACGTCATCGACTTCTAAATATCCTTCCATGTATTTTAGAAAAATTCATAGACATGTTAGCATCGTGTTTGACAAGCGACACACCCTTATGATTGACTCACAATGTATATGACATATTTATGCATTATAAAATAGATTAGATTATTAGAAATAGGTTCCATGTTTGCTTTGCAGAAATTGAGACAATCTTGTAGGTAATAACTTTTCAATGAGTCAACCAATCTTGAGTGTAAATTGGATTTATTAAAATCCTCTAAAAAGCATATCGCACTCTCCATTAATAGTGAACAATGTATTTTAATTGATTTATTTACAAACAATAGCTCACAATGAACCTATTTGGTATGACTAGTCGATGAGCTTATATACTTCTGTATCTATAAGCTGTAACAAAACATCATTCGACTTTCAGATTTGACCTGACTTTAACCTTTTCATAAAGTTGAATAGGAAATGGGGATTTGCGAAGATAACCGAAATCAAAGCATAAAACTGTTACAATATACGAAAGAATGCAACTTACGTTTACTGACAATTCAGGTAGAAGCGTCTTAAAGTAAATAACTTTGTTTACTTCATTTAAAGTTAGGCTCTTTAGAAATTTAAAGCATATTCACATGAAAGTCTGGACACCTTTAATAACTACAGTGTAAATTAACACTTTTTTAAATATTTCTTTGCACTTTAAAATTTCTTTCTACATGACGAATTCCCATTGATCACACTACAACATTGCTGTTTATCGAAATGAGTTAAACTTGTCAATATGAAATTCACCATCCATAATATTATATGACTTAGTAAAATTGTTATAAATGTTCATTGGTTTGTCTTTTCTCATATCTTCGGTATATTCAAACAAGTACTTGAAACTCAGTCAGTCAATAACAACAACGTGGAACTTCGTACGCACGTACATCAGTTCGAGTTGCCATACCACATTAGCACAGAGATGCAGTTATCGATTCAAATCAAATAGTGGTAGAGATAGTAGGAGTATAAGCAGTAGTTGGGATGATTAGGGTTTGGAGATGTTATTCACGGAGTATAATCCAGTTAAATAAATTTGTAAAGTAGAAAAAGGAGACAAAGAGGAATCAGAAGATTAGAATTTGGAAGAACACAAAGAGTGGATGCACCTGCGCCATTGCAAACGATTTTGAGCCATGTCATTCAGGGTCTCTAACCATCTGTTGCTATCATCTCGCAGTCCCCAACCAGGTAGTCTACACCTACCAACATGACTCAGTCCACTTGTCAGTGGCTTCATCGATTTGTGCCACGTTTTGTTCTGACCGCCCCTAGCTTTCTTCCAACCTAATCCCACACCATAAAACATCGCACGTCGAGGCAGTCGGTGGTTCGGCATACGTAACACATGTCCCAGCCATCTCAACTCATGAAGTTTCACTACTTCATCAATCGATTTGCCATCCTTACCTAGTACCCGTTTCCTAACAACTGCATTACTTACTCGGTGACCCCAGGATATACGAGCAATGTTTCGAAGACACCTATTATCAAATGCTAACAACCTACCAATATCCTCTACTCTTACCGGCCATGTTTCACTGCCATAAAGTAGGACGGATCGAACTGCTGCGCAGTAAACCCGTTCTTCGATTGGTAGACGGATATCTCACCTACGCCATAAGTGACGCAAGTTGGTAAAAGCTAGTCGAGCCTTCTGTATCCATGCTGAGATTTTGTCACATACCAGACCACAAGGGCACCTCTAACAGAACTCAAGACCACAAGGGCTGATGAGACTTCTAAGATAAGTGAAGCGATAGACACGCTCAACTACTTTACTCCCTATCATTAGTTCGGGTGTCGATGCAACCCAATCCTGAAGCAACATTTTGCATTTCAAAGGAATGAATCACATGCCGAACATGCTTGCATTGTTGCTTCGAGTGGTCAGAAGACTCTGTATTTCGTCAGCGTCTTCACCAAATAGAACTATGTCATCGGTATATTCTAAGTCAACAAGTGAATCTCCTAATAAAGTTCAACCCCTGGAAAGTGTTATCCCTAAAAGCACATCAACGACAAAGTTAAACAAGTATGGAGGAAGTGGACAGCCCTGACGAACATCACTTGACGTAATAAATTCTGATGACAGTTCGCCATAAGCTTTCACTCGACCAGTTGTGTTCGAGTTGAGAGCCTTTACAAGGTTAATGTACTTCTTTGGTACTCCTTTCAGTGACAAACACTGCCATAGAACCTCATGATCAACAGAGTCAAAGTACTTGAAACTACCAGACGAATCATAATAGAGAAAAACTTGAAAAAAATGTAATTGTTTAGTTAATATTATGAAAGTCACTGAATAACAGTCAACTGATCACTGACTAGTGACCGATGTCATGTTTAACTATTCCCTTATGGTAAATCAAGTGTTATAGACCAAGTGACAGCGTAATCATTAGTTTAAACGACTGAACATCGCATGCACTATGCCGAAATGTTAGGTCGTTGAAGGTAGTCAACAGGAAACCCCACTTGACCTCAGTTGCATACGAGACAGTAATAGCTACCAAGGCATATGTGGAATCTTGAGGGAACAGGTCCACACTGGTGGATCTGAAACTGTCACCCAGTTTCTCAATCTAAGACGTTACCACTGGGTCATTCGGGACGTAAGTGACCTCTTGTACGACTGACTGATCACTGCGTATTGATCAATCTTTGTCTAGTCCTAAATTAGGGTCGCCTGTAGACTGTCTTCAACCACTCCAGAAAATTGTTTCATAATGTAACTTACACAACAAACTGAATATGAAGGAAAACAAGACTATACAAGGGAACTTATTGTTGAATTCTTCGAAGTATTTTTTCTGCAATACACCATGATGTTTTTAAGATTATTTAAAGTAAACAAAACTGCTGAACAAATGTATGAGCTGTAGTTCACTGAGTTTAATAACTCGAATTTCAACTGTTGAATAGTTTCCTACGTCAAAAATCATCGAGAGTCATATAGAAGCGCCACCTCACCCACTCCCATAACTGTCTTTTAAAATTGTATGTTGTTCATTCCGTAAAATACTCTACTATGGCTTGAGTAACAAAGTAGTACATTGCCAGTGATATGTCAAGAATTTAAAATGTCTTCATTGTACGTGTACGTATCCATAAAAGCATTAAGCATAAATACCAAGTTTTATGTTTTTTTTTTAAAAAACCGAAGTCCTGACCATATATAATTCACATTAGATACGATACACCCATTAAGGAAGGTCATCTGTTTAACAAACATTACAAATGAACCAATCTAAGGTCAATAAACTATGAGTCATCCAACCAAACTCGAGTGACTTACAAAATAAGAGACCGACAAAGGCTAAAAATCAATAACAACACCACATAAGGTTATACACAATCACTACCCATATTTGTACAGGGTTTGTGGATTTTACACAAGTAGCATTGAATAATTTTAACACTATAAAAAATTGACTGAAGTCGTAACCACGGCACTTAACGGTAACCTGATAATCCTAATCTTTAGACATGCATCGCAAAATTTGAAGGTTACACCTCCTATATCTAATGAGGTCGTAGATGGGTTTTGTCGAGGTGTCCCATACTAAAATGAAACTGTTATCCAGTACTCCTTCGTTTTCAATGATACGCCAATTAAGATAAATCTAAAAACAATACAACCTACCAATTGAATGAAACTATACGAAGTTGCTTAAGACTACATCACTTACATAATGTTCGAATTCGCACATTATGAAATATTCCAAACGATATCAAGAAATAATGACATCGTAATACATATATATATATGACTGTCAAGAATGAATCAAGAAATAATCAATACTTTATGATAGGCAAGAAATTAAAATCAGACATTAATTTATCGATAAAATCAGATGAAAAACAAGTCAATGAAATTACAAGGTCACATGAAATACCAAAAAAAATGATGATGATAATAATAATAATTGGTGAACACACAAATAGTTGGTTGGTTAATGAATGAATGGCATTTGTAAAAAGAAAAATACTACAGATTAATGAGTCAACTACAATCATTATTACTGCATCGTCAGTGACAACTAATACTGGATAATTTTTTGTACAAAAATGTTATCGATCATTCCATTTATGTTAAATAATCGTCAAAATCAAAATGATCCAAGGTGAGTGACACTATTTATCAATACAATCTGTTACCTGATCATCAGTATCACACGGTTGCAGAATTGTTGATTGTTCAATAAATTCTTCCATTTTGATTACTTCTGACTCTTCTTTAACTTTAACAGTACTGATAGAAACAGGAACAGTAGAGATGGTGGGATTTGTAGTATCTGAAATAAGACTGGTTGCAGAAACTGTCGTAGTAACAGTGGGAATAGCACTAGTAGTATTGATAGTAGTAGTAATAGTAGCAGTATTGGGAGTGGTAATGGAAGCAGTACTGACAGAAATTTGACTGTTTATGACAATAGATTTAAGTGTTTCATTTGTTTGTTGTGGAGTTGTGAGAAAACGTGATAAACTCCTTGGTTGTGCACCACGAATGTGGATATTGCTGTGACGACGTAAATCATACATACGGACAAATGAAGCTTTACATTGATCACACACAAATGGTCGTTCACCTGTATGTCGACATATATGTTCACGAAGTTTATTCAGTTTTGGGAATGCTTTACCGCATTCTTTAAATGGACAGATATGTGGTCGTCTCATTCCTGGATTCCCACTTATAGGAGAAATCGGACGCATCGGAAGAGATACACTCGATTTTGGTGCAATAGCTGGGAGAGGACGATTTTTCATAACAGCTGGTGCTATCGATATCTCATTTCTTGTTTCTAATGGTTCCGGCTTTGGTAAGATATATGGTGAACTAGTAGTTATTTCTGGATTGTTCTGAATATCCAACCTTGGGTCAGAAATATCAAAACTAGTCTCTGTCATACTATTAGTGTTAGGGATTTGAGACAGTCTTTCAGCACGTTTACGACCGAATACGTGTGTTAATTCATGACGTTTAACACCGTATAGTCGGATAAATGCAGCGCCGCAACCAGGTTCACGACAGACGTAGGGCCTTTCACCTGTATGTGACCGTAAATGCTCTTTGAGCTTGTTCAGCTTTGAATAGGCTTTACCGCATCCAGCATATGTACAAGCATGTCGACGCCGTGAATCCTTATCAGCCGCATAAAGATGAGATAATTTGTGTCTCTTTAAATCCTCTTCTGAAAAGTACCTGACATTACAATTCGGTGCATCACATGGTATCGGACCAGTGCCAGTATGTGTTGATATATGTTGGTTCAAGCGATGCCGTCTAGCATACGATTTATCACATCCAGGATATGTACAATGATATCTACCCAATTCACTAACAGACTTAATGTTAAATAGTGCTCTGGGGTCAGGAATTACCACGGATGACTGAGATGATTCGGACTTTACAGTATTTACATCATTATTGTTGTCATTACTATTATTATTACTACCAGTAATATTATCTTTATTAACTGAAGCGTTTACATTGAACGTTTCCCACTTATACATTGCGTTGTATTTTTCATCAGCTTCTTTCAATGCTTTATTGAATTCTTCTTCAGTCAAAGTAGCTGATGGTGGGCAATCTAAAAGATGCATACTCCAATGATCACGAAGATCACGTCTACGTTTAAATGTTGAAGTACAATGAGGTTCTGGACAGGTGAAAGGACGCTCACCAGTATGTGTACGTATATGTTCCATTTGATTGAATCTACTGTGAAATGACATTTGACAATTAACCATAGGACATTTGAAGCGTTTTACACGTCCAACAGGACGCTGAGTGTTTTTATCGTCAGAGACATGTAAGGATTCAGCTTGACTATGACTTCGGTCAGATGATAAAGGAACTGTAATATTCTCAACATTCGATGGTGTCACAATCATACCACCAATATTATTATTATTATTAGTAAGGGTTGCAGCAGACGAAACAGCTGTACTAGTAACACCAACATTACACAAACTATTTGGTGAAGTAATTATACCTCCAGTTGTATTCAGTCCTAATCCGGATATATACGTAGACAACGGAATGGCAGATAACAAATTGGGAAGTAATGACGCTGTAGGGATTGTTACTGTGTTGACTCCACTGCTACCACTACTAACACTACAAGCATTACTAGTGTGGTTACTATTGTTGTTCACATTACTACCATTAACATTAACATCGATCATACTGCTGTTCACCATCGGAGTACACATTGATCCAGCTAGCTGACTTATCATGTTCACTGTGGCACAATTCACAAGCACAGCAGCAACAAGTGGATTCAGTGCAGTCCCACTATTCTGTACAATATTACTCGTCAAATCTGTCACACTATTCACATTAGGCATACTCATTCCCGTTGAATTCACAACTGGAGAATGAAGCCACAATGTAGGCAATGCATTGGAAACAACATTCGGCATTTGCACACTTCCTGATCCGTTCATTTTACCCGACAGTATAGGTTGAAGTGCAACATTTTGTATGGTGGGAGCAACATGTGGTGTACATGTGAGTAGATTGTGAATCACATCATTCAGAGGTAAAATTCCAATAGGTTTAACCGAATCTGTGGTTACGGTCACTGGAGTTACATTTCCAGTGGCTTCATCCACTTTAACATTCGACACTGGGATGTGAGATTCACCTTTCATATGAGAGTCATTTGAATTCATATCTCCATCATTCCCATTGTAATCTTCCTCCGCATAATCTTCTTGTTCTTTGTTTAATACATCATCAAATGTTGCATCTTCCTGTTTCATACGATCTTCATCTGGATCTGTGGGTTCTACAATAACTATTTCATCATCATCATCACCACAGTTAAGTAGTTGAGTCAATTCTGGATTTTCTATTTTAATTGAATGAGATGAATGTTTTGAATTAGTAGATAATTTGAATTTTGAGGATGATTTCATTGATGCAGGCATGAGAGTAGGTCGATGAAGCATGATTGTGATTTTGATTTAAAATATCCACAAGTATAGCTGTATGTAATTTTAGTGAAACTCCAAATGGTAATCTGTAATCCGAGTTACAGGATATTTGAAATATTGTTTAAAAAAATAACAGTTAAATCCAAGCATAGAAAGTCTCCAATCATTGGTTTCATGTGAGGGTATCTAACCGGTTTAAAAATCGAACATTTCATTAGTGTTATCATGTATCACCCACGCGGGGCGATAAGGCAGATTAGTTTTCTCTGTAAGTGGGAAAATAAAACTGTTCACGCCCTAAAATAAATGAGGGGTCCAAATAATTCTCCTTCTATTCTCTACCCTCCTTATGTTTAAGTGACAGCTAGTTTACAAAGGACGAAAGAAAAACCAAGGTCGGTAAATCGAACTGCAGGTCGCAGTTTATCGTTCTGATTGGTTTATGCTAAGCTAGTTAATTTTAACCAATCATAGAGCGTGGTCTCTTGCTTTACTAACCTGAGCTTATGACCGCACTTAGGCCGCGGAGCCTGTTGTTTAATTTTCGGGCATGTTTGTTACAGACATGAAAACAACTAGTGAATGAGAGACAAATAAAATGAGAGAGCCATCTTGAATCAGGCTAAATTCATTGTACGTGGTCCCTCCTTTCTCTCTCTTTCTCTGTCAAGGCTTATTGTCGTAAATATACACACATAACTAGACACACCAACCGCTACGTGTCTCTATATGGTTCTCTCAACAACCATTGAGGTACCTTAGCCAATGAAAAATTAGGACAAAACAAAGTATTTCAGTAACACAAAGTCTCAATGAAAAAATCAGCCTCGAGTACTGGCGAACGTTTTTCTAATTTTTCACGCTACCTCGTCTATAATCAGTCTTTGTTCTAACCCCTTAACATATGGGGATGGGACTTAGCTAAAACTGTATATTGCCAAAACCAAATAAATGACTTGTGTGTCTGAAGGAAATTTTTAGCGAATTTTTCCGTCTGATATATATATGCATATCTATTTATAAGTCATTTATAAATTATTGTTAAAAGAGGTATAGAAAACTTGTGTATTTCTCACTGAGTTCCAATAATTATTCATTCCATTCAAAGAAATTTCACCTAGTCCTCGATCTTTACTATGGTTCGTAGCTTTATGAGATATCCTTGATAGTTTTGTAATTTTATTTTTAATCGATTTCATTATATGAATGATGAATGGCAACAAAATAATAAAAGGAATATTTATGTAATTATATTAGTGTCTCAGTCAGTCAGTAACAACGTAGGACTTCGTAAGTACGTACATCAGTTCGAGTTGCCACACCACATTAGCACAGAGATGCAGTTATCGATTCAAATCCCGTAGTGGTAGAGGTAGTAAGAATATAAGCAGTAGTTGGGAAGATTAGGCTTTGAAGATGTTATTCACGGAGTATAATCCAGTGAAATAAATTTGTAAAGAAGAAAAAGGAAAGGGACATGAAGAATTCAGAAGATTAGAATTTGAAAGAACACAAAGAGTGGATGCACCTGCGCCATTGCAAACGGCTTTGAGCTTTGTCACTTTCAAGGTCTCTAACCATCGGTTGCTATCATCTCGCAGTCCACAACCAGGTAGTCTACACCTACTAACATGACTCAGTCCACTTGTCAGTGACTTGATGGACTTGTGCCATGTTTTGTTCTGACTGCCTCTAGCTTTCTTCCAACCTAATCCCACACCATAAAACATCGCACGTCGAGGCAGTCGGTGGTTCGGCATACGTAACACATGTCCCAGCCATCTCAACTCATGAAGTTTCACTACCTCATCAATCGATTTGCCATCCTTACCTAGTACCCGTTTCCTAACAACTGCATTACTTACTCGGTGGTCCCAGGATATACGAGCAATGTTTCGAAGACACCTATTATCAAATACTAGTAACCTACCAATATCCTCTACTTTTACCGGCCATGTTTCACTGCCACAAAGTAGGATGGATCGAACTGCTGCGCAGTAAACCCGTTCTTCGATTGGTAGACGGATATCTCACCTACGCCATAAATGACGGAAGTTGGTAAAAGCTAGTTGAGCCTTCTGTATCCGTGCTGAGATTAGTGTCTATTCATATTAGAAATTTGTGACAAATTTTCCTCAATTTAATTTCCATCATTCCTAACTTTCAACAACGGATTAGTTCAAACTCTAATAAATTCTATTTGTATTGTTTAGCTGTATTTTTGAGACTATGGAGCTGGTTAACAGATACTGTGAACAAAGCCAGTTCATCAGATTTGTTCGTATATACTACTCATGACCGTAACTGGCTCAAAGATAATAATTTGACTAGAAGTATCCTATTTATCTCTTTATTCATAATGTTTAATTGACTAGTTGAATGGTCAGATTTCACAATTCAGATATTTTGGTTTTAGTATCAAGTTCACAAGGCGATACTTCGAATTTCAACTGATTACAGATATGATGGTAGTTAGGGAAGCGTTTAAACCTTGACTTTATACAACTATAAGTCACTGATTAATAATTTGAACTGTTTAGAGATGTATAAATTTCCCGATGAATTGATTCACGAGATGATATTATTCTTATGATCGGAAGCGTTGCCTGGCATAGCTTAAAATCCATGAGAATATTGCTGAGTAGATATTCGTAAGCTACTAATATTTGACCACAGATGTCTTACAAATATTACTCGCATCTGCTGGAATCAACGGGTAAGTAATACTGAGGTTAGACGCAGAGTATTACGGAATGACGCTAAATCAGTTGATAAGGTTGTGAATCTTCTCCGACTGAGATGGCTGGGCCACGTGCTGCGTATGGCTAAACACCGAATGCCACGACGCACAGTGTTGACTAGTGTAGGGGATGGTAGAAAGGAAGTCAGGGGTGGTCAAACCAAAACGTGGCATCAATCCACAAAGCCACTAACTTGTAGTGTGAGCCATGCTGGTAGATGCAGATTACTTAGTTGGGGTCCGTGTGACTATCGTAACCAATGATTGGAGACTCTTAGTTACATGGCTCAGAATCGATCACATTGACGTAGGTGTAAACACTCTCTGTCTTCCTTTAAATCAAGAGATTAAAATCACTTCATATCTTTCTTTCTAAGAACTAACTATTTCTTCTTGTACTATATCCTTATATGCAATCTTTCTTTTACATGTTACCACCATTGACCTAATTACTCCTATGAATCCGGTGTTCATCTTGTTGTGCTCATGTGGTGAGGTATGTCAACTTGGACCGATGCATATATTTGCCTGGTCCTACGTTGTAGCTGACTGATTGGCTGATAACTTGTATTTCAAATTCATCGCATACTTCTCATTTTTCTATCAAAATCATCATTTTAACTGTATTTAAAAAGATTTTCCCACTCCTTCACCTTTCATTTTGTTGATTTCCTTTCTTGTGCAGTTTCGAGGTGAATTGTAATGATTAGGGTCGATAAATATTTGTTCTAGGTTTTATATTCTGATCGACTAATTGATTAAACTAATAGTTAAAATGGGCGTATCTTACATAAGACATTTAATCATTTGATACCGATAAAAATTGATTAATTCCTAAGTGACAGTCACTAGTGGACGTGCGATTTCATCGTGAAAACAAACATGCGATTAGAAATTATAGAAACTTCTCGACATGTATAGATAAACGGGTTTGAATGAAGATAAGGAAATGTTTGTCTTCAACCATAGGTTAATATTATCTCAAAACCCTTCACCCAGGACGGCAGCGCTTCTATACGTTGTTCAAACGAACATCCAGAAACTTTGTGAATTTATTAGCTGTAATGGACGGTGGTTAGTAGTGTAATCCAGGAAGTGAGTTTCCATCCATCTGTTTATAGGGCTTGTGGCTTAGGGCAATATCGAGATAATCCTCACAGGATGCACACATGCCAATAAGAGACTGTTCAATTGCAGTCCTTAACGTCAATGGGAAGATTCAAACAACCAATACACTATGCATTGACAAATTTGTGTTATCTATATTTCAAACGTACTCGTATACTAGCAAGGATTACACGTTTGAGTAATCGGTAGTTAGGTGCTCATAACAAACTTGTCTCATACGCATCAGTTAGAAAATGTTCAAATTCTTATCAACAGATTTACTATCTCCAAAATCAATCACTTCAGTTAACCTGAAAAATTCTCTGGGGTCGGTTCGTTGGTATTTAATGTAATCGTGACACGTATTGAAAAGATTAATTCGGTTTTTGTCAACATGCTTTTATGACACAGGCTAAATACTTATATATTCGTTAAATAGATATTGTCAACTCTTATCACCTCTGATGTAAACGAGACGTTCGTCTATTAACCAAAGGAAGAGTGTACCAAGCAACAGCTTTTTTCGGTCTACTTTATAGCTATGAAACATGGGACTTCAAATAGTAGATATGAGTAGATTACCTTTATCTGATCACTAATGACTACAAAGTATAAAATACATATGGTGAAGTATCTCGAGTGATCAGTACTGATGTTAGGCTGAGGGCATAGATGAAGTCGACAAGTGAATTGATGAAACAGAAAATCTTCATTGGTGTAGAGAGTGAGACACCTATTACACATTACTAATAAACATCCACCCCGATGCACGACTTTGGAGATATAATAATCAGTTGACATAAGGCCAGACGTTACAAAACCAATAAATTATCATTATCTGAAGTTTCTGACTGTTGGTCTGAACAGTACGTGAAAGTTTAAAGTACTTAGTTGGAGACTTTGAGCAAAATGACTGAAAATCAATGGTTTAGTGAGCTCTTTGAAACCCAATCTGAAGAAAAACAAGCTATTCAGTATTTACTGACATTGTGGTTCTCTAACTGCAATCACCCTGTTATGTGAACTATAATGATAAACTGGTTGGATAAGAGCAACGGCACCAATGAAAATTGATATACACACCCATGTAGTTTGATAATATTTCTCACTGATTCCTCAGTTCTATTTTATCGCACATATTATTTAGTAGTCAGTTCAACAAATCAATTATATTGATCATTTGTTAGCTTGTGAAAACAATGAGCTTTCAAATCGGTCATTGAAAACAACAAAATCCATACAACAAACAAATGTGAACCATTTGAGTATCACACTGAATTATTTCAAAATCACTGAAAATGATGAGAAGAGTTAACGAGAGATAATGCGAGGTGAGTGTAAGAATGAGAAAGTTGGTAAAATGAATCGGAGGATGGACAAGAATTAACAAATCTGTCTCCTTTGGTTAGGACAGTGTCACAAAATGAAACAATTGAGAAGTATATGAAGAGAAATCGTATGAACAGTGATGAATTGGAATGAGAAAGATGGAACAGTGGTTTGTGTTGTATAGGATTCCATGTGAAATTCAAATAATGGTGACAAATG